CAAGATGATTGAAGACAAAGTGTTGGCTGAGCAGTTGGATATGTTCAACAAGCTGATTCTTGATCTTGAAAATATTGATGTAAAGATTGATGATGAAGATCAAGCGCTGTTATTGTTGTGCGCTTTGCCCAGATCACATGCTCACTTCAAAGAAACCCTCTTGTATGGAAGAGAGTCCCTGACCTTTGAAGAAGTTCAATCAGCTTTGTACTCTAAGGACTTGAACGAACGTAAGGAGCATAAACCTTCGACGGTTGGTGAAGGTTTGGCTGTTAAAGGAAAATTCGACAAGAGGAAAGGTAAAAATCAGTCGAAGTCTTATAATGGTGATGCATCTGGTATTAGATGCTATCACTGTAAGAAAGTAGGTCACACAAGAAAGGTGTGCCCTGAACGCCTGAAAGATCATGGAGGTAAGGATAATGGCAACGCAGCTATTGTCCAAGATGATTTCGAATCATCTGATGTTCTTGTGGTTTCAAGCAAAAACTCGTCGAAGGAATGGATTATGGATTCTGGATGCACTTGGCACATGACTCCAAACAAAGACTTGTTCGAGGAATTATGTGATCAAGATGGTGGATCTGTATTGCTGGGAAACAACAAAGCTTGCAAGATTGCAGGCGTTGGATCTGTGAGATTCAAGCTCCATGATGAGTCAATAAGATTGTTGACTGAAGTCAGGTATGTACCTGATTTGAAGAGAAATTTGATTTCTCTTGGTGAATTCGACAAGAAAGGATATGTTTTTCAAGGAGAGAAAAGTATCCTAAGAGTCATGAAAGGGTCGAAGGAAGTCTTGAGAGGCGTGAAGAAACAAGGCTTGTATACCCTTGAGGCTGAAGTTGTAAGTGGTTCGACAAATGTTGCATCCACGAAACCTTTGTCGAAAACAGAAATTTGGCACATGAGATTGGGCCATGTCAGTGAAAGGGGTCTGGTTGAATTAGGGAAACAAAATCTGCTTGGTGGAGATAAAGTCGAAAAGCTGAAGTTTTGTGAACCCTGTGTACTTGGAAAGTCCTGTAGAATGAAGTTCAACAAAGGCAAACAAAGAACACATGGATCCCTTGATTACATCCATGCTGATCTTTGGGGGCCTGCAAGGTGTCCATCACATTCAGGAGCAAAGTATTTTCTATCCATAGTAGATGACTATTCCAGAAAGTTATGGGTATTCATCCAGAAGACTAAGGATGAAACTTTTGAGAATTTCAAAAGTTGGAAGACTCTTGTCGAAAATCAAACTGGCAGAAAGGTAAAGAGGTTGAGAACCGACAATGGCCTTGAGTTTTGCAATGAGGCGTTCGACAGTTTTTGTGTTGCCTCTGGTATTGCAAGGCACAGAACTACCGCAGGTACTCCACAACAAAATGGTTTGGCTGAAAGGTTTAATCGAACTATTTTGGAGAGAGTTAGATGCATGTTGACTAGTGCGGGATTAAAGAAGGTGTTTTGGGCTGAGGCTGTTTCGACAGCAGCATATCTGATAAACAGATGTCCTTCGACAGCGTTAGATATGAAGACACCTGAAGAAGTTTGGTCGGGACATCCACCAGATCTCGACAAACTAAGAGTATTTGGCTGTGTAGCCTATGCTCACATTAGGCAAGACAAGGTCGAACCTAGAGCTCTGAAATGCATGTTTATGGGATACCCTGAAGGAGTGAAAGCTTATAGGCTATGGTGCCTAGAGCCAGGTCACAGGAGGTGTATCACCAGTCGAGATGTAGTTTTCAATGAAACTGAAATGGTTTTCAAGAAAACTGATGATGTTGACGAAGAGCTGGAACAGGTAGAGATTCCTGTTGAGGTGGAGCATGTTGATGCTGAAATGCGTATCCCAGATGAAGTCGAAGAAGAAACAGAAGATTCTGATGATGTTGAGGAAACTGTTGATGACTACCTATTGTCGAGAGATAGGCAAAGAAGAGTCATAAAACCACCTCAGAGACTTGGATATGCAGATCTTGTAGCTTATGCCTTAATCTCTGCAAATGAAGTTCTAGACGAAGAACCTAGAGATTATAAGGAAGCTATAAGGAGTCGAATGAAGACTGAATGGCTAAAGGCCATGCATGATGAGATGAAATCTCTTCATGATAATCACACTTGGGAACTAATCGAGAAACCTGTTGGGGCAAGGTTAGTCAGCTGTAAGTGGATTTTCAAAGTTAAGGAAGGAATTGAAGGAGTAATGTCGAAGAGGTACAAGGCAAGATTAGTCGCAAGGGGTTTCACTCAGAAAGAAGGTGTCGACTTCAATGATGTATTTTCCCCTGTTGTGAAGCACAGATCCATTCGAATGTTGCTTGCCATGGTGGCTCAGTTCGACCTTGAACTGGAACAAATGGATGTGAAGACTGCGTTCTTGTATGGTGACTTAGATGAAACGATCCTGATGAGGCAACCTGAAGGGTATGTCGAAAAGGGGAAAGAAGATTATGTGTGCAAACTGAAGAAATCTTTATATGGACTTAAACAATCTCCTCGACAGTGGAATAAGAGATTCGACAAGTTCATGGAACACATAGGTTTCATTAGAAGTCAGTTCGACCACTGTGTTTACTCCAGATTTCGACCTGAAAATTCATTTGTTATTTTGTTGCTTTATGTTGATGATATTCTGATAGCAAGCAACAATGTCGAAGATGTAATGAGGGTGAAGGCTGAACTCAATAAGGAGTTCGACATGAAGGATCTGGGAGCTGCATCTAGGATTCTTGGAATTGACATTCGAAGAGATAGAAAGTAGTCGAAATTATGCTTATCTCAAGAGGCATACCTACGAAAGATTCTTGACAAGTTTGGTATGTCGAATTCAAAGCCTGTTGTGACTCCAACAAACCCTCAATTCAAGCTGAGCATTGATCAATGTCCCAGTACTGATGTCGAAAGAACCTATATGAACAGCATCCCATATGCTAATATAGTTGGTTCTTTGATGTATGCTATGGTCTGTACTAGACCCGACATAGCATATGCAGTAAGTCTTGTAAGCAGGTACATGGCGAATCCTGGAAAGGCTCACTGGCAAGCGTTAAAGTGGATTCTAAGGTACATAAATGGGTCTCTGAACAGAGTCTTAATTTATGGTGGAGCCTTGGGTGAAGATAGTAAAGCAGCTGTCGAAGGCTATGTTGACTCTGATTATGCAGGCTGTATGGATTCCAGAAAATCTATTTCTGGATATGTTTTCACTATGTTTGGTACAGCAATTAGTTGGAAAGCAACTCTTCAGAAGGTTGTTGCCTTATCAACTACTGAAGCAGAATATATTGCCCTAACTGAAGCTGTGAAAGAAGCATTGTGGCTTGAAGGTTTTGCAAAGGAACTGAAACTTCAAGGTCAAGGTATCACTGTTAAGTGTGATAGTCAAAGTGCAATACACCTGTCGAAGAACTCAGCCTATCATGAGCGAACCAAGCACATAGATGTGAGGCTGCACTTCGTCAGAGGGGTAATCGAGCGTGGAGAAGTCCAAGTGCTGAAGGTCTCGACAGAACACAATGCCGCTGATATGATCACCAAAACATTGCCAAGTTGCAAGTTTTTTCACTGTATGCAGTTGATAAAGCTGCATGAAGAAAGCTAGTTAGTGTCTCTTGATGCTGTAGAGTTAGGTCCAAGGTGGAGATTTGTGGGATATTGGATCGAACTCTAGTATGATCGAAGTACATGCTGTAGTCGAAGAAAGGGTCTAGCATGTATTTGTCGAAGATGCTTGTTAAATTAGGTTTTAGTGTTTAAACCCTAATTTGTTAAGTTAGCTTGTTTCTTAAGTTAGCTTGTATAATGGGCCTTGTGGAAAAAGCCCATTAGTTAGTATGTTAGGTTTTATTATAAATAGCATACTAGTCTCTCATCATTGCAACACAGCAAATCCTAATTTAGGGTGAGAGGGTTATTTGTTATTCTTGTAAACTTGTAATCTTGTTTTCTAAGAGAAAGTAAAGAATAGCAGTTATAACCAATTCTTGTGTTCTTCTTCTTCCTTGTTTGATATTCCTCCCTTGTTCTATACTTTGTTATTGGCATTGAATTCACAACACAATAGGAATCACTTCCTTCTTCATCACATGGCTCACAAATTTCAAACTTCTTCTTTTCACATTTGATTTGGGTCCTCTCTCTTCCAACCCATCAAAATCTCTTCCTCCCTTTCTCATCCTTGCTTGTCTACCAGTTAGAATCAACCAAAAACAAAATCACCCACTGAACAAAAACCAATCAAAATTTCATCTACCGCATGGCTATTCTTTCCACCGTTGTTGCGTGATGGGGCTGACCACGGAAGCATTGAGGAATTTAAAGTTTTTGTGAATGTGTTATGGAAAAGTTTTAGTTTTCTCCACTCTTAACATCAATTAAGATGTATGTATTCAAAATAATTGCTAAGTTCATTTGGTTTGAATTCGAATGTATAATTTCAGACAATTTGTGAGATCTAAATGCATACTTTATAGAAATATAAGAGATTTTTTAGTAGCAATGCCCAAAGTTTTTCAACTCAACTTGAACTGCATGTCCAAGTATATATGCGATTGTAGCATTGAGTTGGCAGAAATATGCTTTAGTTTTTGCTTTACAGCTTATCACATGCTTCATGTGCCAAGCATTATCATCATCAATAAAAATAAAACTTTCCATATGATATGAATAATCGACACGATTTATTTGCTAATGACACGAGCTAAGCTCGTTCTTTTTTGTAGAATCATACACCAACATTCTCATCACTTATTTTCTTCATATAATACATAAACCAAATAATCTCCTTTCCTCAACTTATTTTCTCAAAATACATACCCCGCTATGACTAATTTCTGAACTTAATACATCTATTATAACTTACATGGGTAATGTATCGCAACAAAGGAAAATTCAATTGAAACGCCACCAATATTGAATGACTCTCCGGCGTTGAAACCATATTCTCTCAAGCAGCCAACCTGTGATTTGTACTCTACTTGAGGAATTGCATTTGTTTATACACAATGCTATTCACCATCACTCAAGATGGGAACTATGAGTGGGTTCATCTGTGCCAGATATACAATTGCCCACCTGATACAACAAAACAACAACCAAAGTAAGCTTAATGGATGAGAAGATAAGAGTAAGGTTATGTGGAATAAAACAAGGCGTGACTATTCCGATTCACAAGCTAGAATTACTACTGAACAAAAAGAAAATGTATGCCAAAAAAAAATAACACTAATTCAACAAAGCATCCGATTCACAAGCTAGAATTACTACTGAACAAAAAGAAAATGTATTCCAAAAAAAAATAACACTAATTCAACAAAGAAACGTGTTCATATCATACCATGGAAAGCCCAATTTTCTCCCTACCTATTATATTAGACAAGATTTTGATATAGAACATACTGCCAAAAAAACACGGCATGTTGGAAAGTGACCAAATCATGGTAAACAATGTGCTTTCACGAAGAAGCTATGAATTGAAAAAGTGAACTACCACATTTTCAGCAGCATACTAATACATTTCCGAGTTCTAAACATGCCGTGATTCAACTATGCAATGTCTTCCTACCCTTTATTTTACTGGACTTAAATGTCAGACAGCATGTACTCCTCGGGATGAGGAAGACAACATCCTCTCCCCGTTTGTTTGTTCAATTTTATCACAAGTACCTTAGTAGAGCTCTAATAAAAAGTACCTAAGTTATCTATAATTTTCTCATGTAAAACAACATAACTAGAACGTGCATGTGGCTTAAAAATATGACAGCAAAAGATAAGCTTTAAAGCACTAAATGATTCACAGACCACTCACAGTTTGAACATTTCCATTTATTAACATCACTACAAATATAGTACAGTTAATTTACACATCATGAAAAAGACAGAGTTTTCCATTATATACTTCCACCTACTTGTGAAATATGGTGGCAAATTTCCCTACTTTATAAATAAAAGTGAAGCCCCAAGATGCCCAGGGATGATTATCAAAACATATTTCATTTTTCGTAAAGTTTATTTATTCCTATTCAATTACTTGTACTAAGTACTACTAAAAAGTGTACAATATTTAACTTGTGTAGAAGTATCATCATGGTTTTGGTGACAAAGAGTAAACAAACATGTATTAGAACAAACAAATTCAAGACGGACAAATATGAATAGTGAATACACTCAATATGGAGAGTGAGAAACTATGAAGCATTGACATAGATAACGAACATCAAATACAACATTGACACACTAGTAATATTTGAAAAAATTGTAAGTGATTTGAATGTAAGTTGTAACCACACAAGTTTGTGTAGTACGACTGTCAAACACCAATATTATGTGTTGGAGATGCTTTCAGGTTTCAACCTAAAGTGTCAGTGCTACAGCCTACACTGGTAAGGAGTTTTACTGTACTACTTTTCCATGGGATCAATACCTTGCCATGGAAATAACCCTAGTAACGAAACTTTTCAGTATTGCAATGCCAATTCAAACATTAGAGAAACTAAACTAAGAATGTAAATCAAACACACACTTACATCATCCAGCAGCATATTGTAGAAGTAAGGACCAGAGTGAGGTGAAATCTGCAACAAAATAATTAGATATTAGCTCAAACACAAAGCATTACCATAGCATAGCCAGAATTTAAAAACTCCACAGAAACATCCACATAGAATAGAATAATATACCAATTTACCAACACAAATTATTTAGTTAATTTCACTAAACCTAAAAAATGCTGCGATTTTCTCAAATTTCGTGAATAATTGAAAGTAACTTAACCTAAGAATCCAAATCAATAAAAACAATTAAGAACAGTAACAATAAAAGAAGTTTGATTTCATACAGATTAGAAGAAGGTCCTTTGTTGAAGCAAATTCTCGTAGAAAGGCACGCGATGATTCCGACGACGAGGAAGATCAGCGAGGTGACAACGAAACCCATATCGATCTGAATTACACAAATTGAAACAAAATGGTTCTGTTACAGTTACGGTGTTTGATTTGATTTGTGAGAAAGTGAGGGGAAAAAATCAAAACGACGTCAGAATTAGGTTACCTCTGAAACGCTTCGTCGTTTATTGTATGAATGATAAGAAGGAGGGTGAAGCTCCCGGGTGGGGGAGGTGTATTTTGTTTTTTATTTTTTATTTAAAAATTTTGTTGTACCTTACATTTTTTAGTTTATTTTATGTAGTAAAAAAATTTCAGTCAAAACAAAATGTATTATAAAATTATTTCATTAAACTAAAAAAATATTTCTATTTTTCCACTTTTCAAACAAGATTTACTTTAAGCTTATTTAAAGAAAAATGTTTATTAATAAAAAAAATAAAAATAAGAAATGTAAGAATAAATTTTAATTATTCATTATTATCATCAATCCGTGATTTCTATTGAAAAATAAATAAATTTAAAATTTATTTCTAAAATAATGACATGTATATATTTTTATATTTATTTTTCAAATTATTTCTACTAAATAGCATTATTCTTATTTAAAATAATTCTATAATTAATATAATAAAAAAAATCAAAAAGTTAAGTTTGACGGATAACTATAATTAGTAAAATTAAATTACAGTGTTATTCAATCATATTCAACCAAAGTATTTGTTGTATTGTACTACTCAATCATATTCAACCAAAGTATTTGTTGTATTGTACTACGTAAATTTGTTATACTTATTCATAATTAGTTATACATTTTTTTCAAATATTTTATGATTAGTTTCAAGTATTTTAGAATATATTTTTAGTTTGATGGCTAATTAATATTAATTTTAAATTTTTATTATATGTGTTAAGATCAAATTTAAAAATGATCGATGAAATGATCAGGCAATATCTTGTTATGGTGGAATGGTATTTTCAATGTGGTGGAAAGGGGCTCTACATACAAGGTTAATGTTCAAGTCAATAAATTTGAACATCTAGAATGACGTGTTTTCTCTTTATATAGTATGAGTGGTTAAAATCATCTGTGTCAGGTGAGGCGTGTTGCACTGGTGGCGGTTGGATTTAATTAAACGATGATTGATGCGCCAGGAGGTCGTAATCGTCTGTTCTTGGGATAATGATGGATCACTTGCTTGATGTGTTTTACCTTTTGATGGCGCTATTTAGCCTTTTTGCTTTGGGTCTTGCAAAAGACTCAACAATTTTTTCACAAGTCTTTGTCTCTACTTTGTAGGGTGGGGGTTTGTTGCGTACGCCTCTAGGTCGTCTATTTGCATGATCAAGTGAAGATCATTGATGGGACGTCACTTTTTGTTGAGAATAGACACATTAAATACCTCTCTTGGAGTGAGTAGCGCTTCACATGGAGCTTTTGACGTGTGTCCCTACATTAGTCAATAATAATATCTCGTTAACCTTCAGATACTTCAGTGTTCTTAACAACTTGCGAGAAGATATATATTGTTGATAGAATGGTCTTAGTTTCCCCATACACTAGATTGTATGGTCTTTTGTGGCTGGGGCACATATAAAGAGTTGCTAAAGTACTATTTTACCTTTTTTGTCGTTTGTGAAATGTAAATGTTCTTCTTCTTCTGTATCATCAACTTCATTCTCTCTTGCGAGATCTTTTGCATTGGTTTTCTATTAGGTTCGTTTGCGACATTTTGTTAAGTGGTACATGTGACGTGTATACATTCAATTATATTTCTTTAAGGTAAGATTTGCATTTTTCTTTCTTCTTGCTCTTCTTTCTCTATTAAGGTTATGGAAAGTAGCTTTATGGGGCTTTAGGTACTCGAACTTCTTTTATTGGCATGTCGAAATTTTTCAATGCTTGAACTAGAATTGTAGATGCAGCACCACGATGGGGTAATCCACGATGCTCTAGTGTGGTGGTGTGATGTCAAGTCTAACAAGTGTACTACTCTTATCGAAATAATAAATTAATTCTTCTTCACATGGATTGCGGATTTTAATAAGGTGACTATAATGCAAATTAAAGTTAATAACAAAATAGGGTTTTCAGTGTTTGATTCGGTTCAAGAATAAAATGAGAAAATAATCAAAATAAAATTCAATAGTTAAAGGCGATTAGATCTTTCTTTCGACTATCCTAATTATAACTATTGACGAACTTTGCATTAACTAGATTTTTAATATGTTAAAGTCTTAGAACGAATTAACAAGGCCGCTGCATCCAATTCTTTGGTGTACATCTCACTAATGTACACAATAATTCTCTAATTCCTTAGACTAATTCAGAGTTAAATTAGGTGTTCTACATTTGTTAATTCAAAACCCGCAACTTATAATTACATATTCCTAGTTAATTACTAAGTTCAATAATTGCCCTAGATCCAATCGGTAGACTTACTGTCAATAATCACTAGTCATCTAATATCAATTCATGCATTCGTCAATACATAAAAATCATTAAAATCAAGGACAATAAAATAATAACAATAACATAAAAGAATTTGATTAACATCAAACACTCGTATGATCGTACAAGGTACAAGCATGTTTGTCTTATAAAGACCTAATCTAAAGAATCTAGCTACTCCTAGTGCATCTAACAATTACCATGAGTTTAGATAAAGAGATCATGAAATACAATGAAGATGAATGTCTTCAATAGCTTCCAAAACCCTTAAAATCCTTGATTTAGAAATCCAAGCCGTCACTTTCTCTGTCAAATCTAGAACTCTCTAAAAAAGTAGCCAAAAGCCTTATTTATAGTTGAAAAATGTGTAAGAGTTGTCGCCTCATTGCGCACGTGTAAGACCTTATCGCACCTGCAATGCTGCTTTATTGCGCCCACGATGAGAGCATTGCATGCGCGTAAAAACCATAAGCAAAAATGTCTTTTTTCTTTCTTTCTTCAAAATTTCTATAAGTCGACTTTCTTCACTCTTTTATAACTTTGTTGAATTCTTCCTTTTTTTCTTGGCTTTTACTTATTATTCCATTGATTCTGTTGAAATTACTCACAAATTTTACGTAATGACAAAGTGTCATCATGGTGTGCAAAACCTCATTAAATGCTTGTTCAATCATTTTGACATTTTGTTGAACATCATATGTGTGGCTCTAGGAGAACATGTTAGGGTGTAACATGTTAGTATAGGATATTCGAGTGCACTTTGTAACGCCCGTTAATTTAATTAATTATTTAATTAAATTATTTTTGGATTATTGATTGAAAAGTTGTGAGATATTGAGAATCATTGGTATAAATTGTTAGATTATTATTAATTAATTAAGTAGTTGATTAATAATAATAATAATAATAATAATAATAATGTTGGAATTAATGGAATAATTGTGTTGGGCTTATGTTATTGGTTGGAAGTAGTAAAGTGTGAGTGTGTAGGTTAGGCTCAATAGGATTAATGATATAAGGTTAAGCTGACACAAGGATTTGATTTAGTTGGTGATTAAGGGTTTGTGCGCTAACCGTAAGAGCTGCACGGAGAAAGGAGCAAATTGCCCGGTGTCGAGCAGAGCAAAGCAAGGATTACGGCCGGAGCTTTGGTTGAGAAAACTTCAATCCAGGTAAGGGTGAGGTTCTGACCTTATAATGGGATTTATGATGTTGTTATGTGGGAATTGGTCGTTTGTATGACTGTTGTGCGTTGATGTTTCTGAATCTATCATCAAAGTTGGTCGTTAGTCGTGTTGTGAACGTTTCGAGTTGTCTGTATATTGCCCGGTATAATCGATGAATAGGTTAAGGTAGTTTATCACTATTGTTGTGGTCGTTATGATGTTGTGGTATTCTGAGCGGTTGTCCGGAAATTAGGGATTATGTTGATATAGTTGCTAAGTTGATGTGTATTCCGAGCAGTTGGCAGGAAATTAGTAAATTGTTGTTGTGGTTGTTTTAGGAAGGTTTCTGTGTGAATGTCTTGTATAATTAATGAATCTGTTGATAGGAAATATAGTTTTCCGTTACTATGATATTTCGAACAGTTGGTCTGAAATTATGGATTATAGTTATGTGGTCGTTAAGACGTTGTATTGTTACATGTTGTTGGCCGGATTTAGTGGTCAAGGAGGATGCTGATGGTGTTAGGTGCCGAGCGGCATTTGGGCTGCGAGGTGTCGGAGAATATACGTGTTGGATGTCAAGCGACATTAGACTGGAAGGCTGTGCCGAGGAGCACGGTACTATTGTCAAGCTGCACGAAGTTACATGCTGTGTCGAGGAGCGCAAATTAGTTGTTATTCTGTCTTAGTTGTTGTGCATGTCGAGGGGCACATAGTCTCTATATCCCTATTGCCCGTATATGTTGTTTTAGTCGTTATTAGTGATGTATAAGTTGTTCTGAGTTTAGAAATTGTAGGTTGATGAATTATGTGAGGTGCCTCTAATTATTGGCAGATATTATGTTGTAGGCTTATGTCCAAAATTGAATTATGTTGATGTTGAATTATTATTGATGTTGTAGGTTTATGGCCAATGTTAATTTATGTTGAGTTGTTGTTTATTGTTGATTTTTGCTACATTCATGTTGCGTCACATACATCGCATGTCAAGTTGGAGCTGATGCTCGTTAAGTTGGCTTGAATTGGCAAAATATTAAGTTGAAGACTTATGCCTTGTTGATGCCTCTATTTATTGGAAGATTTTTAAGTTGAGAGTTCTGCTCCATTGGTACCACATGCATTTTCATAAAGACAAGTTGCATCATGTGTTGCATTCTGAGTTGTTGTGTGGTTGATTTATTTACATTTATGTTGTTAAAAAACTGAGAAATGGTGAATTTGTATGAACTAATTCTAATATATTATTTGTCATATATCCTATTATATTGTTCGATATCTCACCCCTTCTGTTTGAATGTTACCCATATGTTGGTAACATGCAGGTAATCCAGATTGAAGGTGGTTTACCTTTAGTAGTTTGAGTTGGTGTCATTACAGTGTTATACCAAGTATTCATTAAATAACCAAAGTAAAAAACAACGACAAACAAAAATAACAATAAGCATCAAATAAAGCGAAATAATTGCCAAAGGCGACCACTTGGGTCGAAGATGTCTGAATATTACAAAAATTACGGGCACGCAGGCCCAAATACAAATGAAAAAACAAAAATGTCAATAACTCCCTGGAGTGCTAACTTCGACATCAGGAGAGTCAGGAGGAGGGACCACCTGACCATCAACAACCTGGGACAAAACCCCAGTTCCTTCAGTATTTAACCCCGGGTTCAGCACGGACATCTGATTCACAACAGACTCAAAGCCGTCGGCCAAGGCGTCAATACAATCTGACTCCAAGAGTTAAATCTGAGCAATGAAATCAGCATGCGTGCACAAGTCGGCTACCCCTTCAGGCTCACCCTCCGCGGGCATCATAGCAGCCCTCAGATCTGCAACCTCCCTTATCAGCCATTGGTTGTCACTCTCTAACCTCTCCTTATCAAGCTGAAGGAATTCTTTATCTTTGAGGACTTTGTCGACTCTCTTCTTCTCCCCTGCCAGCATGTCAGACTGCTCACGAAACATCTCCTCGCTTTGTTCGAGAGTAGTTTTCAGCTTGTGGATTTTTTTTCACAAGAGTCGCCTTCTCTGACTCTAGTTCCTTGACTCGATCCGAGGAGTTTGACCCTTTTCCCTCCAGGACAACCTCCATCTCTGCCATCTTCACCACCCTGACCATGTTGGCAGAAAGGTGCTTCCTTCGACCTTCCTTGCCGAGTCACCTGATGATGTCGGCCTCGTTGTCAGACACAATCAAGGGAAACCCCTTGAAGAAGTCTTTCTCCACGAAGCAGGGTGGTAGGCTGAAGGCCCGGGCACCCGCCTCTTCGTCAGTTACATCAGCGTGTCCACCTTCTGGTTGACTCCGCTTTTTGCTCAACAACACAGCTTGGAGCTCGACGTCACGAGAACCCAATGACCCACTAGATCCTTCCCTGATCGGCTCAGGGGCTGGACCCATACGCGTAGCTTGCTGCAGTTTCACCAGCCTTTTATTGCTCTTCTTCTCTCGGGTCAACTTCAATAATCTCTCGCGTTGTTCTGCCATATGACCTACAAAAACAAAGAAAATATGCCCGGGTCAGCTACGTCGAAGAAACAAAAGAAGGCTATCAATATAGTAAAGGTAAGCAAGAAACCTAAGAGATCCTAAGAGATCTACAGCCTACCCGTAAGATTGACACTCGACGAGTGCCTTGGTATTAATCGGGCGTGCCTCGAACGTTGGCTCGCCATCCTCATCAAGGACGTCATGTCCTTCCCTCGTAACCCACCTAGCGGGGAAGAAACCATTGACGAATCGATTTAGGACGCTATATGCCTCTTCATCCTCGACTCTCATACCGCCGGTGGAAGTATGGTAATACCCGGGACCATGGTCGTAGTGGGATGAGCACCAGTGGATGGGAAACTTTGAGATTCTCCCCATCTCAGGATTACCATCAGCATCCAAACACGACTCATCATCCTCGTCCACCACGGTATCCGGGTCGAACAGTGAATCCACGACTGTTTGGGTAGATGGTTGCAAGATATACCACCTGTCCTTAAAGTCACTGACAGAATCCATGTACATCCTAAACAACCTTTTCGATTGTTTAAGGGATACCCAACTATGTTTCCCTCCTCGGGACTTCCGTTGCAAGTGAAAAACCCTGAATAACAGGGAAACGTCGCCCCGATCCTCAGGAACTGACATGTAAGTTCGAATGCCCAGATAAAGGCAATCGCATTGGGATGAAGCTGGGAGGGCGCCAAACTCAAATGATTAAACACCCCTAACTGGAAGTCGTTAAAAGGAAGTCGAAGTCCAAGGTCTTTGAACACAGTCTCATACATGGGGAAGGCATCCTGAGTGAACTCCGAGCATATGCGAGCGTCTTGTGTCGGCCTCATGATTTTGAAATTTCTTTGAAAACCCTCTTGTCCGCCGCCGTACTTGAAGACCGTATAGGCTTGCCTCCCGGTGTAATTGTAGATCGAGGCTATCCCTCGGGGTTCCGCACCAACCCAATCCAGAGTAGGATCGTCGACGGTGTCGACCAGATTAACGCTCTCCTCGGGCGCGTTGGTTCCCTCGGTGTCCATATGCTCCGATGACTCTTGAGTGTCAGCCATTTACCTGCAAAGTATAGGAAATCGGTGAATTCAACAGCAAATCCACCTTTCCGCGATGCAGATGAGGAGGTTAAGCAACGCCCAGACCAAGTCGACGACCATTCGCACAAAAAGGAGAAATACGTGGACCTCGATCAAGCAGCAATCCTAACAACAAACACCTATGTTTATCATAAATATACCAGACACAGGAAGAATATGGCGAGCAGACTATGAATCTCACGACCAAGTTCATAAATTTGTTAGCTAGACACAAGGAGATCACGGGGAAAACTAGCCTAAATACTAGCGAAAGAATGAATCTCACGACCTAGTTCATAAATTTGTTAGTTAAACGCATGAATGTCACGGGCATGATCATAAATCACACACCTAATGCATGAATGTCACGAGCGTGATCATAAATCATACGCCTAAACACATGAATTCCCCGGGCGTAATCCCCAGACACGAAACCCTACTACTAAACATCATCAAAGTATATCTACACATAGGATATCAAGGAAAAAGAACACTTACTTGAAGAAAGATGAAGAGCGACGGTTGTTGAGGAAGAGAACACGATGGATTATGCGGCAGTCTCAAGGATTCTGGAAAAAACACACGGTGTTGACAACAGAGAAAGTGGAGAGCGCGAAAATATGAAAGTAAGTTATGAGCCCTGGAGCCCTATTTATAGAGCTGACGTGGAGTGTGAAACGTCACGTCGGGCAATCACAAGCCGCCTTTCTCCTCGACACCTACACGTACAGGAAATGATGGCCCATACTCCCTAGGTCATCATTAATGTTCCCAAGAGCCACGCCACGTGTCTGACAAGTGTATCATCTTCTCCCCGCGAGTCCTCCTCGAACACACTCTGTCCGGTGCCCGAAGCAAAATCATGAACCGGTGACGTTCTCCATCCACGGTAGAAAAACTTTATGTCGAGCATAATACCTCGCGAAAGTACGAACTTGAATCAAGTCATGACCCCTTCACCAGGAGCAATGACTCGGGGAGCTCCTATTCTGGACTGGGCCTGCCCTTGGCCCAACTCCCAGTGAGGCCCAATCCAAGTGTGCCAGCCTGCACTAGTGACCGGTACTACACTCGAACACGACGGGAAACTACTAACCTTTTCCCGCGAGGAGACAACCTCACCATGTGGGGACAATGCCCGAATAGATTGAGGACACTCATGCCCCGACCACGAAGGCTTCAAGGACACCTCAATTAGCTTGTCGTCTAAGACTGGTCCCATATCGAGCTCATGTCTGGCGGGGATCACCCACGACGAGCAGGCGCCCCTCCCGAGCATCTTTCTCGTAGGGCTGACTACCAACGTCTCTGGATATTGCGGAGTCTTCATGGTCCCGAAAAGATTGCATCCATATCCTCCTAACCTTCGGAGGACGTCACCCAGGTAGGGGACCACGTGTAGGTCCCCACTACTCACGTAGAACCTGGCAGTCTCTAAGTTGGGCCTGCTTGATCAGCCCAATAAAGAGACATTGGCCCAGCGCTGAGGGCTATGAATACACTCTCATTCGAGAGGGTCAGGTATTCAACACTTTCTAACTCTTACGCTTGCTTGTTCATTCCACAATTTACTTTGCCATCAGAGTGTCTTGCAGGTACCCCCATCTCATTCAACTTCTAGTCGAGACAGCTGTGACGGTCCATTCTGATTCGGTAAGATCAGTTAGTAATTAGGGTTTATATGACAAGACTAAAAGCAAACATAGTAAAACCCTAATCCAAGACAAATAATTGAATCAAACACACCTTACACACATGCACCACTAGGGTAACTCACACTTGTTGCCTCGAATATAAACAATCATGTCCCTCGAACGTGGGGTACTTTAGCAAAGATCCTCGATTAAAAGATCGTAGTCCATCGATGACCCTTTGATGTTGCCTTTGATAAACGATATTAGTCCCTTATGACAATTGCTAAAGCGTCTTACAAGTTGCCTTATATGACTGTACGATGACCCACGCCTGTCCCTCACATCCAATGATATGACTTCCTACTAACTAATGGTAGGATAACACTATTTAAAGGAGGAGGAAAAGAACAACAACTTTTTGAGTATATAGATCACTCGTAATCTCTTGCTCACAAACTCAAATAAATTCCACACTTCACACTTTCAAAACAACTATTTTCAAGACACTTTTCAAAACAAACATTTTGTATACATTCTCAATGATATGAGAATCATTACAAAATTTCTTTACATTGGCATTTTCAAAACATCTTTCCAAACACTCCCTTTCAACAAATATTTTCAAAACAAACATTTTGTATACATTCTCAACAATACGAGAATCATTACAAAATTGTCGTACTTAGGCATTTTCAAAATATTTTCAAAACATACACAAACACAAAGCATTTTCAAAGTGAGCTAGCAATCAAGAGCCCGTAGATAATTATAGATGAAAAGGGTGCTAACACCTTCCCTTTTCATAACCTACCCCCCGAACTCAAGAAAATTCTCAAAAGGTATTTCCCGTTCTTTTCACTATTTCCTTTATTGGATAAAAGAAAAGTCGATGGTGACTCTTTCTATTCGCAACAGTTGCGATAAAATGCAAAAACACCAAGTCAGCTCTCCCACTGTATTACACTCACCCTCATTCATCTCATCCGTATTAAAATCAACATGATTATATTCTACCTCACCCTCACCCTAATTAATCTCAACCCCATTATCATCAATATTCATGCCTCCAACCTCAGCCTCAGTCATCCCAACTACATCATCATTACCAGCCATATTCAAGTCACTTATACCATCTGCTTTACCAATGAGAACTTCTTCAACCTGATTTCCAATGACACCGTCTTCATCAACATTAACCATAACTTTATCTGTGCTCAATCTCATCCTCTATAAGACCATCATAATAATCAGGTTGAGAAACTTAATGTTATACATACAAATGAGCACTCTTATGTACCTTACATAAATAAACTATCCCTTGGACACCTTTATCATTAATAAAAGTAAACAAACCAATTGTTGGATCCTTGTATAGTACTTTTCTATATTCCTTATACTCCCGTTTGTTAACTATCATTAACACCTCAAAATAACTCCACTTATCTACATCACATTTCACCTCACCAATTGATTCCCCATAACTAGAGTCATAATCACCTTCGGAAAAAAATCTCCATGGTGTATAACTACATGCACATATTCACTTCCTTCGCCATCCTCGTGTTCGTCGTTCTACTGAGTGAGGTTTGAGAGAACTTTCAGAGAATTTTAAGAGAACATAGAAATCTGAGTGAGTAAATGAGTTTTCTCTTTTTTATACATTACATCAGGTCATCATTAACTAATACACATGCGTGACATCTTTGCATTTCAATTGACTTCGACTAACATTTTGGACGGTAAGGATAAACGTGAACATGCTTGAATAACTGAGGGATCTAAATGATCCTTTTTAAAATTAATGGACCAAAATGAACTCTGACCTAAAGATAAAGGAAGAAAAAGAATATTAAACCTTTAACAAACTAGTCAAACAATATAGTGAAATCTATATTCCATTATACTCCGTTTCATTTCATTTCATTATGTTCCATTCTACTCCATTTCATTGTGTTCCATCAATTCAAACATAAAATTTTATTTATTTAAAAATAGATTATCAAAATTATATTTAATCCTTAATTATTTATAAAAATTATATTGACTTTATAAAAAATAATAACATTAATAATTGTATTTTGTTTAGTTGTAAGAAAGTGGAACACGAGTGAAACGACATCGTTGGATTATTCGATGTCTACGAACCGTCACCAATTCACCATGTTCCTTCATCTGCTTCCAATCCAACCAAAGTCACACACCAACCAAATTGAAAAAAGCTTAAATTTTTTGACGTTGCAGCTTAAACCCTAACAAAAAAACCCTTTTGCTACATAACAACAATGGCTACGCTTCTTCCTTCTTCCCTCACAAACCCAAATAAACTCTTCCACAATGTATCACTTTCCACTTCACCCTCTTCTCTAACAACCACTTCAGTTTCTCTTTACCCTAAAACGCGACGTTTTGGTCGTCGTTTTGGGTCCGTTAGATGCTGTTTAGCTTATGTCGATAACGCTAAGATTAAGGTCGTGGGAATTGGGGGTGGTGGTAACAATGCCGTTAACCGCATGATTGGTAGTGGTTTGCAGGTGGGGTTTTCATTCCCTTCACTTTTCTTCTATAAAGTTTCCATTTTTACTCTGCCCTTTAGTCTATAGTTCACCCAATTTGGGGCATTGTTAATGGGTTATTTTCACTTTTCTAATTATAAATTCTATGTAGCTGTAATTAAATTTAATACTTTAGTGCTATTCTACTTGTTTAGTAGAACTTTCTAGCATAGTTTTGTTCAGAAATTGAGGGACTGTGAACTAATGTGGTTGCAATTGTTGTTGCGGATGGTTTTTTGAAAACCTTGCTATTGTGAATACTAATGTTGATTTCTGCTACTTATATTTGTAATCAGGGTGTAGATTTCTATGCGATAAATACGGATGCTCAAGCGCTACTGCATTCTGCAGCCGAGAATCCTATTAAAATTGGAGAGCTTCTGACTCGAGGATTAGGTCAGGCATTTTCCTTGCGTATCTTTTGAATATTGATTATGATGTGATATTTTGCTTGTGTAGCTTTGTTGTTATAGTCTTCCTGGTTTTATTGAGAAATTGGGGTTTGGCCTTTGATTCAAATTGCTTGATAGTGATGCAGGTACTGGTGGGAATCCGCTTTTGGGGGAACAAGCTGCGGAGGAATCGAAAGAGGCTATTGCTAATGCCCTTAAAGGATCGGATTTGGTGTTTATAACAGCTGGGATGGGTGGGGGTACAGGGTCCGGCGCTGCACCTGTTGTGGCTCAAATATCAAAAGAGGCAGGTTACTTGACCGTCGGTGTTGTTACCTATCCTTTCAGTTTTGAAGGAAGGAAAAGATCCTTGCAGGCAGGTGTCGTATTTTTTTTCCTTTGTTGAGAATACTTCTGTTCCTTTTAATATGTTAAATAAAGTGTTATTTTTTTTTCAGGCACTTGAAGCCATTGAAAAGCTTCAGAAAAATGTTGATACCCTTATTGTAATTCCAAATGACCGTCTGCTTGACATAGCCGACGAGCAGATGCCTCTCCAGGATGCTTTTCGTCTAGCGGATGATGTTTTACGCCAAGGAGTTCAGGGAATTTCAGACATTATAACAGTGAGTTGATTTGCAAGCAATGTATTTGATTTTTGCAGTCGTTAATTTGAACATGATTTATGTCCCTAGTTGATTGATCTCACTAGACGTGAAAAAATGCTTGAGTGGTCACACTCTCTTCATAACTAGGCTTGTATTTATCCATGTAGTTCTTTTTTCTAGATAATAATACGAACCGCTATGTTGTGATCTTCCAGATACCTGGACTTGTAAATGTGGATTTTGCTGATGTAAAAGCCGTGATGAAAGACTCTGGTACTGCAATGCTCGGAGTAGGTGTTTCATCCGGTAAAAACCGAGCAGAAGAAGCAGCTGAACAGGCTACTTTGGCTCCTTTAATTGGATCATCTATTCAATCAGCCACAGGAGTAGTGTATAACATTACTGGAGGAAAGGACATCACCCTGCAGGAAGTCAACAGGGTATCTCAGGTATACGAGATTTTTATCAGCACTTGTTAAAGAAAAGTCTCGTTTTTCCTTTTACACTTTGTTATCAATAGTTTTGTTCTGCACTTTCCGGCCTTTCTCTTTATACATGTCCAGTTCTCAGCGCTTGTAACTTTTACAGGTTGTGACTAGTTTGGCCGATCCTTCTGCCAATATTATATTTGGAGCTGTTGTAGATGATCGTTACACCGGAGAGATTCACGTGACTATCATCGCCACTGGCTTTTCGCAATCTTTTCAGAAGAAGCTGCTAACAGATCCAAGGGCTGCAAAGCTTCTTGACAAAGTGGCCGAGGGAAAAGAAAGCAAGACAGTGCCTCCTCCCCTCAAGTCCTCAAACTTATCTTCCAAAGTTGAATCTAGAGCACCACCCCCACGAAAGCTCTTTTTTTAGTTGCATAGAGTTTTTTTCTCTTTTCAATTGATCATTTTACTGTAGTCATTCAGCTGTTTGATGATCTTGAAGCTTATTTGATTTGTTGAGATGCCATCACACACATGGTTTATGTAACAACACGCTTAAGTGTGTATGTAGCTCACAACCATTTTTTGTTTATGAAATGGATATATTTAGAGTGAGAATGAATTGTTAGCAAAAACTGCAGAAAAATAAAGGGCCATCCCTCCCAAGACTCATCATCAAGCTCTCATTTCATTCTTCTCTTCAAGTTTAAAATTTTCCAGTACTCGTAGTTCTTGTAACTTGCAGCTCGCAAGACGCATCTGCCGACAACGAAACATCGCAAATCATTCCAAGAACCCAACGAGGAATATTAAAAATAGTATAATAACACACCAAGGTCAAGTCCTCTTGATGGCCCAATCATTAAGTCCAACTTACAAGTGCACAAATTCTAGAAGAGAAGAATTACAGGGAACATGAGTTACTAGGAATATTATCTAATTTTAAGGGACTTTCTTTTGTAAAAGAGAGGACATGGTGGGGAAGTCATTACTCATTAAGAAAGTTGTTGGCATGCTATTAGGACTCTTAGGAAATAATGTTCGGGAGCTTAGTAAATAATTTATTATTAGTTAAATAAGTGTTATTAGTATTTTGATGTGTTATGAATTATTTTATACAATTATGTTTTCTATAATTTCCTTAAGATATTTTGGGTTTTTGGTAGTGTTTGGGGTCTTTGAATTTATTACTCATTAAAAGTAATATATATTGTACTCTTATCGAGACATAGCATATCAATCAAATAATTTTTTTTAAATTTTTTTTTTTATATTTTATTTAGTCAATTTAATATTCTTTAGTATAGAAATCTTAGTTCATGTAATTTTGATAAAAAAACTTCCTATCATATTCTCTAGGTAGGAGGAGCATCAAATATAGACAGAAGTTATCCTTATTCTATTCTATCATTTTTCTTTTTTGAATTTAGGTTCACCTAACTCTACCCTAAGAAACTCGTTTGTAATATGAGAAAATTTGTAGACTGTCATCACAAGAAGTCTTTCTCATTGAAGATTTTTCTCATCTGTGTCCTTTTCCTTGAATTTTTTACTTAACCATTTCAAGCTCTAAGAATGCACAACTCTGTAACACTGCTTTCAGCAAAATAACCATCTCTCCAACTTGCAAATTTGTCTTCATCGTCAAGTCTTAACCCTAATTGAAACATATAGATAGCTTCATATGAGAAAACACCTGTATCCAACATCCATCACAAACTGTAAGGTATTTTCTTTTCCTTCATTCTTTTCGTTTGATTTCTCCATTGTTTTTACTTTTATTTGCGTAAGAGAGTTTGATTACTTGTGTATTAGACTGAGAGAAAAATGTGTTTTTTATTTTTTATTTTTTTATGTTTGATGAGAGAGATAAGTAAGTTTTGAGAGGTAGTAGAAAAACGTGTGAGGGAGTTTGATTCTGGTATCCTTTCTTCTCTAATCGTTGTTTCTGTTTTTTCGTTTTCCTTTTTATTTTCAGTGTTTTTACAACAATGCTAAAAATGATGAAACTTCATAGCTTCGCCATATTTGCTCTTCTTTTCTATCTTTGTCAGTATTTTGTGAAGGTCTTACTGGGGGATGGAACCCAATCGAAAACATCAAAGATCCACATGTGTTGGAGATAGCTCAATTTGCAGCTACTGAGCAGCAGAAACAATCTGGTGTTAAACTGAGTTTGATGAAAGTAATCAACGGTGAGACTCAAATTGTTGCAGTCTTGTTTTGACGGCAAACAATGGATTTGTTACCAAGAAATATCAAGCTCAAGTTGTTGATGTAGTTCAATCAAGATACCCAAAGATTAACGTCAAAATGGACTTTCATATAACGTTAATTTTGATGTAGTTTAATGACATAGTAAATCATTATAGATTAAACTCAAACTTTATAAGTATGGCCTATATGATATTATGTTTCTATCCAACGATTGGTTTTAAAAAATATTTATCAAATGTGAAGTTATTGAACGAATGTAACTCATGGTGTAACTCTTCGGGTGTAATTATATATATATATATATATATATATATATATATATATATATATATATATATATATATATATATATATATATATATATATATATATATATATATGTTTATTTTTAGTTAATAATAAGACAGTGATTATAAATGTGCAGTATGGAATATTATTGGTATTATTGTAGTTAATGTACGATAGATTGTATTCAGGAAGAAGCGCACTTAAATCCAATTTTGTGGAAGGAGTTAAAGGGTTTCTCTCGTGGGCGTTTGCTCAGGAATATTGTTGAAGCGAAGGAGGAGTTATGTATCTCTGTCTTAAATGTGACTGTAGACCTATAATTAGTGACCCAGAGGAAGTAGAACGTCATTTGTATAGAAGGGGTTTCATTAAAAATTATTGGGTTTGGACATAAAATGGTGAAAAATTGCCTAGTAATGTACTAGAGACTAGCAATACACATGCTTCAAGTAGTCGACCACCTATGGAATATGAGGGAAACTTTAATATGATCGATGATACGGTTGATGATGCTTTTAGTGTGAACTTCACCTATGATATACCTGAAGATTTTGATGGGGGAAGAGTTGCCGAATGAGAAAGCGCATAGATTTTATCAGTTGTTAAATGAGATGAATACGCCGTTGTTTCATGGGTTGCCAAACTCAAAGTTAATAATGTGTGTGAGATTATTTGCCGCCAAGTCAAATTGGGATATTCCTAATCAGTGTTTGGAATTCTTCGCAATAATGATGTTGGACTCCACTGCAATGAAAGACAACTTGCCTACAAGTTTGTATGATGCAAAGAAGTTTGTGTTGAAATTGGGTTTACAAGTAAGACAAATTGATTGTTGCATTAGTGGTTGCATGTTGTTTTATGACAATTAGTTTGGTACTCAAGATGGATTGTTGGAGGAATGTAAATTTTGTAAGAGTTCAACATATCAAGTTCGCAGTAGAGCCATTAACAACAAGCAAAAACATGTAGCAGTAAAGTCCATATTTTATCTTCTGATAATACCAAGGTTAAAAATAATATTTGCTTCAATGCACAATGTAAGTAAAATGACATGGGATCATACAAACAAAACAAGTTCAGGCACTATGCGACATCCATCTGATGGTAAGGCATGGAAGTACTTTGATCAGACACATCCTGAGTTTTCCGCATAACTTAGAAATGTCAGGCTTGGATTATGCTCTGATGGTTTTACTACATATATCCAAGCGTTGGGAAGTGCGTATTCTTGTTGGTTAGTTATTGTAACCCCTTACAACCTCTCTCCTGAGATGTGCATGACTAAACCATACATTTTTTTAACGTACGTCATTCCAGGGCCGTCTAGTCCAAAAGCCAGAATTAGTGTGTACTTACAACCTTTAATTGATGATTTGAAGAGGTTGTGGATTGGAGAATAGACTTATGATATAACTCGTAAACAAAACTTTACTTTATGAACTGCCTTGATGTGGACCATTAACGACTTTCCAGCACATGGCATGTTGTCTGGTTGGGGTACGCATGGAAAAATGGGTTATCCGTATTGCATGGGATACACCAAGGCGTTTACATTGGATAAAGGGGGAAAAACTTGTGGTTTGACTGTCACCGCAGATCCCTACCAATAAATCATCCTTATAAAAGAGACAAGACAAATTTCAAAAAGACGAAAGGATAACAAATTTTCCTCCGCCTCAATTGTCACCAGGTGCTATATGGAACCAAGTTTGTGAACTACAAAAATTCAGAGATACTGACAAATCATGTAGAATTGAAGGATATGGAGTCACACACAATTGGACAAAAAGAAGTATATTTTGGGACCTTCCATATTGGAAAGATAATTTGTTGCGCCATAATCTTGATGTTATGCATATTGAGAAGATTTTTTTTGATAATATATTTAACACAATGATGGATGTTAAAGACAAAACAAAAGATAACGAGAAGGATAGACAAGACATGGAAATTTGGTGTAACCGAAAAGAGTTGGAGTTGAAGCCTCAACCGAATGGAAAATTATTAAAACCCAAGGCTTGTTTAAGTCTGACTTCCCAAGAAGCTAAAACAGTTTGTCGATGGTTAAAAGATTTGAGAATGCCTGATGGGTATTCTTCAAATTTAGCAAGGTGTACCGACGCTAACACTAGAAAGTTGTATGGTATGAAAAGTCATGATTGCCACATTTTTATGGAACAATTGTTACCAATTACGTTTGGTTCACTAACCAAACATGTGCTTAATCCACTAACTGAAATTAGTCAAATTTTTAGAGATATTTCTGCGTCATCTTTACAAGTGGATGACATCATTAAGTTGGACTGAAATATTCCACTCATTCTCTGTAAGTTGGAAAAAGTGTTTTCGCCGGTTTTTTTGACTCCATGGAACATCTACATGTGCATCTTGCATATGAAGCTTATCTTAGTGGACCTGCTCAATATAGGTGGATGTATCCTTTTGAAAGGTTCACGGGTGATTAAAATCGATTAGTGAAAAATAAAGCTAGAGTTGAAGGATCAATATGTGCACATTATTTGCATCGGGAAACATTACATTTTTGCAGTCACTATTTCAATCACTTGATGTTAACTCCAAGAATCATTCAAAATCCTGTAAATGTTAACGAAAGAAGTCAATTCACCTTATCAGTCTTCGAGCTTCCAGGCCGTCCCTCGGGAAAGGAAGGTGTGCATTGGTTGACCCAAAAAGAAATACAATCTGCACATGTTCATGTCTCGATCAACTACGTTGAAGTTAAACCATATCTTGAGTAAGTATACTCCAAAATGTTAATTTTCTTTATAGTGTTAATATAAAACTTATTAACTTGAAACTTATAGCGTGTTTCTTTTTAGGGAATTTAACATCGCCTATTTTCATAGTACCGATGTACAATCAACATCTGGTGTCATTCATGCTCAATTTCCAGCATGGTTCAAG